CTTCTCCATAAACTGAAACAATTTTGCAATGAATCATAGCTGTGTTCATGCCCTTAGCATTTAGGTAGCATATTACAGTACAAACTTCACACTGCAGTGAAACGGAATGAGGACACTTATCTCTAACCTTCACCACAATGCCAGTTGATGAGCTACTGCTGACTGGCACTGCCCATTCGCTTTCGCTGGCTTCCTGCTACATGGCAGTGATACCAACTTCCCCTGAGAAAATTCCCCACAAGAACTACATGCCTTGTAACCTAAGTTTCCGAATAACCCTCGTAGATAAAAGCTGTTGTTTTTTGAAAAGCTGGTAAAGCTTAGCTGCGAGGGTTATCCTGCCTCTTCCTCTCTTCTTCCTCTCTTTTTCTTCCTATCTTCTTCTTTTCGCCCTCCTCCTCTTATTTATATCCTGTCTTTCTCCTGACAATGTGAATCAAGATAGCTAACAATATATTAAAGTAATACAAATTGAAAGCAATACAAAGTCAATAAAATATAAATGCAAGATTTTTTTTTTAAAAAAACAACCATTTATAAGTTAAAACTGTAAGCATTACAATTTTAAACTGTATTAAAAATAACTCTATACAAACCCTTAAAAATTAATATTAGGGTCACACGGCATTCAAAACCCAACCTTTGTCAGCATGCCAAATCCTAGTGGCACAAACATGTTTTGACTTGCTGCTGGAAGGAGGGCACAAATGGGGCATCCCAGCTTCTCAGAACTAAGAGATTCTATGCAAAGCAGTTTTTAAAGTTCATTTTTCTAAACTCCGGGTATCTGTACAGTTAGCTTGGAACTCTGGGGATAATGGAAACTATTATTTTGTATTTGTCTGAACTTAAAGGTCTTCATGAGCCTCACAGTGTCACTCTGAAAGGTGGGGATGCACTTAATTAGATATGCAGAATATCCCGAAGTTCAGGCGAAGTTCACTGCTGTTCTTGCACAACCCAACCTTGTTTCTAAAATGAGGAATAATTAGCGTTAGAAACATACTGAGCTCGTCTTCCCCACTCCCCCAGAATGCCAAATGGTATGTTTTCACTTTGTCAGATTAATCAGTGATACAGGCAGGCTGTGCTAGTTGCCTTGGTTGTTATTTTTTATCTTGAAGCATATTTATTCTTTGAACTTCTGACACTCTGGAGCTGGAATATCAGTTGTACATGGATACATTTGGCACACATTAAATGCTGTTGCTCTTTCAAGAATGGCACACAGTCCAAATCATAAGCAGCTGTTTGCTCATATGACCACAGATAACCTTTCACCTTGGGGAGGAAATGGATATAAATACCCATCTGTAAAGAATGTACTTTTCACAAGGGCTTCAGATAATCTTTTCTCAGTGTTAATGTGCTAACAACTGGGAGAGTAGACTGCTGACATGCTGAATGCAGTGCTTCCTTTTCATGTTAACTTTCTGTCAGGCACTTTTAAAAATGGCCCTTAGCCCATTATCCATCATGAAATGCTGCCTATGGAGCCTAAAATCAATTTATCTTTTAATCTTCGGTTCCCCTTCAACTTGGCCACATCTTTCCTCCCTCCTGTCTACTCCCTGCAAACATTTCGAAGTTTCTGAAAGAACCTTTGATTAAGATACCTTTATGTCTGCTGCCTTCGCTTGCCACCCATGTCTCCAGTGAATTGAAATAAGCTCTGCAGCAACCTTCCCCAATCTGATGCCGTCCAGATATACTGACAGAGAAAGACAGCTACTTTGGGCAAAACATACTATGGGACAGAATCTGCAGCTTTTCAGATGTTTTTGGAGTTCCCAGCTAGCAAGGTCAATGGCCAGGCCATTTTTGTAATAAATGGCTTCAGTTGCGCTTGTCTTACAACTTTTGAAAATTGCAATCCCAACGAACACCAGCCAGTATGACCAGTGGGTATGATGTGTGGGGGATATTGGGATGTCCTATCTTCCAAAGTAATGTTTTATATACTCAGATTTCCAGTTATAGCAGTACATGTAGTGGCATAAATTCAATATCTCATCTTGAAATCCTAAACAGCATGGGAATCTTGTGTCCATGTGCATCTTCCACTGACTTTCCCATTCTTCTGCAAATGGCAACTATTTGTGAACAGTTTGTTTCAAAATGTTGCCCTTTCAAATACCAAAACCAAAACCATAGACTTAGAGAAAACAAGATAAATTCCCAAATCTCTCTTCCAAAGAGACTGGGATAATGGGACATCAAATTGTGGTGGTACATTGTGGCGTGAAATGATGTGGAGTGCATATAACTCAGAATGGTATTATTTGATTCTCAGAAAGATTGAAGCAATTGGCCTGTCTTTGGAAGCACTCTTAATGCTCAAAAATGAGGAAGCGTGCAAGTCAGTCAAGAGCAGACTTTTGGACCTTGACTTCCATAATCTGACTCTTGCAGCAAATACTACTTCTTCCCCTACCACATCATTAATTCCATGTGAGTGTGGAGTCATGGCAGCATATCCTTGCATTTTAATGAATCCCACCCAGAGGAGAGCTTTGCCTACTGCAAGATATAATGTGTTGCCATCAGCGCTTTTGGATGGGAGATATAAAAAAGCGGAACGTTCCAAAATAGTTTGTTCTTGTGACTTGGTATCTGTTAAAACACTTCTTTGTTTGTTTGCCCCAAATATAATATATGGATGAAATACAGGAATTCAATTTTTCACAGTGTTCTCAATGGCAAGGGTTTTATGAAATTCCGTATTTTCTGAACAACTCTGATGCATTCTTTTATGAGATTGTTGCAAATTTTATCCTTGAGATTAGTAGTTTTAAAGTATGTTTTCTTTTTACCTGTGATTTCCTCTTGTTGTGTATTCCAGTGTTGTGTTCCAATTTTGTTGTTGTATGCCAATAAAGGCTGTGTGTGTGAACAAGTGGACCCAAAATGTATTTATGTGGCCTTAAGTCTCTCTAACCTTTTTATCACTCCTTATTTTCCAAGATGACAAAGGAGAATCATCCCTTTTGGAATCCTGAAGGAGTTGTGGTTGTCCACCAAAGCAGTGCTTCTTATGCTATTTGATATGGGAACTGGCATTTTTCCCTTCAGTGTTTCCAGGATCGGAACCGTATTTGTACCCATGGACTACAATTGTTTCTTTCCTGGATGTTCTCCAGGAAAAAAATACCAGCTCATTCAAGGTTGGGCCATAGCCCATGGAGTACTGGATAGAGCAGTGTTGACCCTGTCTCAAGAACTGCTGCCAGTCAGTGTTGATTACACTGGGCTAAATTAATCAATGCCAAATTTTAATTTTTTTCTTGTTCCAAATTCATTTTTTTAAAATCAGATATGTGTGAAATCATATTCTCTACCGTATCTTAGGATTGTTTTTACAATTCTTTAAAAAGGGTTTTATAAAATATTTTAATGTGTTTTTAAAAAAATTTCATCTTGATATTGTTTGAATTGTTTTCTCCCCTCATCACTCCAGGAATCCTGAGAGACAATATACAAATATTTCAGATAATTAAATACAATATTCTGTGTAATGGGTCTCAGATAACTCTTTCCTTCTTTGGCCACTCTGTCTTCAAGTCAGAGGAAATCGACTTCTGCTCTTAACTTGTTGCTGGTTACTTCCATAGAAGTAACATTCACATTGTGAATTGTGGCTCTGTCGTATTGTAACAATGTGTAAAACAATACCAAGTTAGAAATAAGCTTTGGCTTCCACAAGTGCTCAAAAACACATCCAAGAATGATGGCTCTGTCATAGTATGTGCTCTGATGGGGATGAGATGATCCACTGATGGTTCGGTTCCATTAATGGGGATGCATGCAGTATATATGCGAACAGCAAGTTTGGAGCCTAAATTATGGATTTCTGTATAATCCATGGATATTAAGGGTCACTGAAAAAACCTTTTGGCACTTTACTCAGAGAAGGGGATTCTTCCTTTTTTGATGAAAAGTAAGGTACAATATTAACTCTTATCAACAAAGAGCCATTCCTTTTTGTGAATAGATTAGCTAACAACTTTTATATTCTCCTTTCAAACTATATGTTATTCATCCACACTAAGTATTCTTTTCCGTTTCTAGCTTTAGGAATAACTACATTTTGACAGTTTAATGAGACAGATCTTTTGATACAATCCGAGACAACTTGTTAAAATATAATAACTGATTATCACCCCAGACTGGTTTCCATCACCAATTTCCTGCTATTGAATCGAGCTGAAGGTGAAACAAACTAAGAATCTTATTAAAAGGATGCAAACTGGTAAATTGGATGGGAAATTACAATTCTTTTGACTCTTTTCCTTGCAGCACCCTATTTCCTTTTCTAGTTTCTTAATTCGTAGAATATTGTGATTTTAATTGATGCTCTTGCAATAAATCTCAGCTCTAAACCATGTTTCTAAAATGTAAACTAAAGAGCTGGTTACATTGTTTTCCTCATTTTGAGCTAATCAGCATTGAATTGGGTGGTTATATACTTATTCAAAAGGAAACAGTGTTGTGCAATTTGTGTTTTGAAGTAGTTGCTACATACATTTATATATTACCAAAATAATCAAATCAAAACAATACATAAGACAATAAAAAGTTTTGAAAACATTGGGAAATGTTATGAGAAACCACTATTTGTGGTTTAAAAGACCCAGTTAAAGAGTTGCATCATTTTGTCTTTCCCAAAAGCTGAGCAAACAGAGATCAACTTGAACTCTCAAGAAATTGCATTCCATAGCTTGGATTTTTGTTTTCCCTAAAATGGAATACTCCTGCAGGTGTAATGGGAATATTTTAATGAGCATATCTGCACTTTGATTGCAAACTTTTTGCTATTTTGTTGTTGTTCTTGTTTTTTGTCACTTTAGTTCCAACATATGGTGACCCTACAAATTAGAGTTCTCAACGAGCCCTGGTCAGTAACAACCTTTCTCAGGTTTTGTAAACTCAAGACTCCAATGAGTTATGCTGTGGCAGGATATGTCTCAAGTGTTATAACCTCATTTTGGCTTCTCTTTTAGGTCTCCCCAAATCTCAACTTGCAAGATGCTACTCTGTTGCAATACCACACCATGCATCATGCATTGATGTCAGAGTTACCAGGCAGTCTGGCTGGAATACAGAGTTTACATATGGGACACTGGGTAAGCGCGGAAGTAAAGTAAAATAAATAAACAAGTTTTCTTGAAGACTAATTTTTGTGAACATATTGGTAGGTGGTTTTCAATGGACGGTTACAGAGAAAGTACATCTTAGTTGAAATTCATATGAAATTTGAAATGTGCTCTCTAGGATTTCCATATCTTGAAACAGAACTTGTCAATTATAATACTATTTGTTTCAGTAATTAGGAAAACTTTGCTGCCACATTTTTTTTGTTCTCAGAACCATGTTGTCTTGTTTTAATATTTTAACACAGCTTTCCAAATGTTAGTTGAAACATCCTTCTCCATGATACAAACGATTAACAATTCAGAGCAGCTTTTATTTTAGAAAGCTAATTGTAGAGCACACAGTGACTACAGCCAGCTGTCCATACTCTCTGGGGTTAGCGGCGCAGGACCCCCACAAATCTGGAAAAACTGTGAATAAAGAAAACTCAGAGAATGCATATCTAGGCATTTATAGGTTCTCTGGTTCAACCATATGGCTGAAGTCATGCTGGTGGACCTAGAGACTCCTAGAGATAGCATATTAGTCAAATCCGCAAAAGTGAAATTTGCAAATGTGGAGGTCCAACTGTATTATCTGTAGGGGAATCTGAACGATTAGACTCTCAGTTGGGGTGATTCCACTATAAATTTAGCAGAGTACTAGAAGTACACTTCATAACCAGCTGAAACGTGTGGGGAAGCTGGGATAAGCTTCTATTCTTAGGATGGCATGAGATTGCAGAGTTAGAACTTTAAGTTCAAAAATATTTATTGAAGTAAAAGAAATACATTCTAGATAGTAAAGATCTTGGAGCTAACTAGCTCGTTAATCTCATCTTCTAAGGAATGTAAAAGGATAAAAAGTCAAAATATCAATGCAACTATATTTTTCCTACAGAGTGCGTCTTCACTTGAAGGAAGTAAAAGGCAGAAGGGACAATGTAGGATGGCCGCATGGCCAAGCCCAGGACAATAAAAGTACCTTTAAAAAGGAAGTTACCTCACAAACATTCCATTGCTACATCTTCAAAAGGGGAAGATATAATGGCAAGCAGGAAGAATAAAAACAAAGCCCTTACTGGGAAAGAAAGCATGAATAGGAATGTGGGGAGGAATCCCTCAATCTAATCTTGTCTCTAGTCTAGCTACTCATTGAGGACTGGAGACTTGATGACCCAAGAGACTTGTGCAGTCCAGGGATGAAACAACCCAACATTATCCCATAACACTTTACCATAATTTAGCACAGGGTGGGAATTGTGTGTTGAGAAATGTTGGGAGCTATCATCCAAAAACATCTGGAAAGCAGCATAATCCCCATATCTGATTAAGAGCCTTGTTCCACAAAGCAAGTGAATCACAATTACAGCAGTTAACAATGGGATTTATCACTGAGCTGCTCCTGTCCTGTTGTCCTCCTGCTGGGAGGCTATTGGAAAGAAAGTCTTCTATAAAAGGAGATCATTTAAGAGATTACTTGTGTTTGTAAAAGAAACTCTTTCCAAAAGGTTTCCCACTGGAAGTGGCAAGAGTGAAGCAAGGTCCTGTGATCAGTCCCAGCCAAAGACACTGTACTCCTGCTGTAAATGTGATTTGCCTGCCCTGTTTGATAATCTCCTTAGTGTTACATGCATAGCCCCCAGACTGGTATGTTCCGTTTCTTTCCCCTCTCTTTCAGTGTTTTTGCAAAGCATTTGCTGTTATTTTTGCCTAACCACTTTTTGCTATCATATCTGAACTTGGACAAATGATAGTGTTAACTCGTAGTTTATTATTCTGGTTTCATTGAATAGCTAATGCTTACCATGATTTCTAGTTTGGATAGAATGAATGGCAGTTTTGTGAAAATGTGCCCATGGAGAGAGAAGAATACTTAGGCCCAAGATTATGGATTATTAGTACTGTTCTAGTTGGGTGTATTGAGAACACAGGGACATTTTGCCAAAACGTTTAAGCTGGAATTTGAAGAGTGAAGCGGCCTGCAGTTCCCTAGAGAAATCAGGAGATAAAAACAACCACTGAGTCCAATAACTTGAACAATATCTGTGCTGTCTTGGTTTCTTCCTCAGCTGCTTCTTCTTCAATCTTTTCCCTCCCCATTTCACTGAAACAGTCAGTTCATTGAAAAAGATACTTGAGACTACAAAGAAGTAATAGTGGATGAAGAACACTGCTGAAATGTTCCTTAAATAGACACTCAGTATACAGGGTTTCATTCTTTCATTGCTTCATCTTATTTAGAATATCCTTTATTAATGGGCTTGATCAAGCAATGTTGGGGTATTTGCACAATAGGAACATATCGCAAAAAATATTGCTGATTAGAATAAAAATATCCAACATTAATCGTAGAATTTCCCTTGTTTTTGTTGATAGTGTCCTTTGCCAAATTGCTCCTATGATTTATATACCCACACATGGTTTGTATGGATGCTTTCTAGTCTGCGGCTTCTTCTTTTCCCATCTTTCCTGCTATTTATTCTCCCCCTGTGTGCTGTCTCCTCCACAGCAGTTCTAAGCATTTCTCTCAAGGCTACTCTCCCTGCAGAGTTATTTCATAACAGATGCAAATGGACCTAAATTGGTTTAAAGCACTCTTTTCTTGGTTGCATGAATTGGAATTAAACTCTCTCTCTTAAAATTCTGAACTGTTCATGGGATTGATTTCTGAAAACAAAAACCCGGTGGATTTGTGAGAATTAGTGCCGAAAAGACACATTCCATGCAGGAAGCTTTGCTTTCTGTTTCTGTGCATTTTGAATCTGTTTTGTTTTTAAAGACTCCCAGGTGTACCCAATCAAGGACTTTCTTAAATTAAATTGGCTGCTTCGGTACTGTCAAGCCAAGGCCTTGCCCTTTTGTGTAACTTTCTAATAACAAAAGATAAAGATTGCCATATCTCTGTCTATTTTATTGCTGTGCATGACTGATTCTTCATGTCCTATGATTATTCTACTCTTAGTCATCATTATTTAAGTCATCATGTTAATGCCCCCCAAAATCCCATGGATTTTGCATGGATGGCTGAGATAGTGATCCCTTTGCTTTCTGATAGTTTAAGCTACACAAACTTTGTTTCATGCACAAAATTGTTAAAAATATTATGTATAAAATCACTGTTAGGCTATATGGCAAAGTAATAAATGGAGCATAAAAGAATTTCATGTTTAGGCTTGGATACAATCGCCAATATATCTAATTAGATATGTATAGTGCAAACATAGTCATTACAAAATCCCTTAAGATCTGAAACACTGAGTCCCAAGCATTTTGGGTAAGGAATACTCAACCTGTATTATTGTTGTTGTTGGATTTTTTTTACATTTAGGACTTATCTTTTCTCTTACCAGGGAGAAAATATGTGGCCCTCTTTACCATTTTTTATCAATACAGGAATGTTTTAATATAGGTTAAATTGATCAGGATGAGTGGCTGTAGACAAGACATGGGCAAACATTGGCCCTTCAGGCGTTTTGGACTTCAACTCCTACCATTCCTAACAGCAGCTGTAGGGAATGGTGGGAATTGAGGTCCAAAACATGCCTATTGTAGACTGTTTGACTTCATGGTTAAATAGGAATTTGAACTTGTGTCTCTCCAGTCCTAGTCCAACACTCTCAAATAAACAACTGAGATATAATGTTTAAACTCTAAACCCTATAGCTGAGCCCTTGTGAGAGATGACCTAATGTAATTTTCTGGCTAGGTAAAGCACTGTTTCATATACTTTCCTCAAGGGCCTCCATTCCTCCTGAAGGATCTCTTCCACAGCAAGGCCATATGGTGACTCTCATGGATGGCCAAGAAGGAATCAACACTGTCATTATAATCATGTGAACAACAACAGAGGACTCCTTTAGAACCTGCAAGGAATATGAAATACACTATACTTGGGAAAACTGGCTGAACAAAGAAACTGGTTTATATCATGACTCCCTCCATCATTTATAATCTTGGGCCACACCTACACAAATGCACACACTGTCTGGCTACCTCACAGGTTTGTTACAAGGATAACAAAAATGGAAAAAGCCCCTGTAAGCTACCTTGAGCTACTTGAGCAAAAGACAAAGTATGAATGTCATGAATAAATTGTTTATCTGCATTGTCCGAAACTGCCAGCATGGTGTAGTGGTTTATCTTTGGAGACCAGGATTCAATTCCCCACTTGGCCATGGAAATCCACTTTGTGACTTGGATAAAAACTACACTTTTTAGCTCCAAAAAAACCTATGATAGGTTCATCTTAGGGCAGTGTTACTCAACCTGGGGGTCTGGACCACTGGGCGGGTCATGAGGGGGTGTCAGAGGGGTCACCAAAGACCATCAGAAAAACAGTATTTTCTGTTGGTTATGGAAGTTCTGTGTGGGAAGTTTGGCCCAATTCTATGATTTGTGGGGTTCAGAATACTCTTTGATTATAGGCGAACTATAAATCCCAGCAACTACAAGTCCCAAATGTCAAGTCTATTTTTCCCCAATCCCACCAGTATTAAAATTTGGACGTATCAGGTGTTTGTGCCAAATTTGGTACAGGGAATAAAAATACATCTTGCATATTGGATATTTACATAATGACTCATATTAGTAGCAAAATTACAGTTATGTGGTAGCAACAAAAATAATGTTATGGTCCAACATGAGGAACTGTATTAAAGGGTCGCAGCATTAGGAAGATTGAGAACCAGTGCCTTAGGGGTTCCATAAGTCAGAAATCACTTGAAGACACATAACAAGAACAGCAAGTAGTTATCTGGGGAGTATTCTTTTTGTAGCCTTTTCCAGACCCATGAAAAGGTTAACTTCCTCTTCCAGTGCCACTTCTAACTGGTGTAGGAACTAGTAATCTTTTCTTTTAAAGATGACTGGTGCTCAACTCTTGGAGTGGTTTTGTTCACTCCTCCATGAGTCACAGCAACCACTTCTCAGTAAATGATTCTTTCTTCTCAACAAACTTTAGATGATTTAGGATATGAAATGAATGTTTTATT